AAAAAATGGGGGCACCTTAAATGGGGATACCATGGTGGAAGGGTTAGACAATGTGAGAGATAAATAATGCCTAGGTAGTTTTAAAAACCAGAGGGAACCATATTAGTCCAACAACCTAATGACAAATTATACATACCAGATCAAGAAATATATGCTAGGTAAGGTTTATCTGAGAACAATTGGTCTTTGCCCAAGATTTATCTACATGACACATAGTAATTAAAAGTACCAGACTGGTGGAACTAACCGTGAATATCTAACAGATATACTTTGAGGCCTATAATAATTTGGTCAGAGGGACATAAAGGACAGTTTTTGCCCTCCTAAGTTGACTAGTTCCAGGGGACTATGAGCATCTCTCTCAATATCCTGTAATTGTGGTGGGTCACCTGTCCTTTTGATCAAGGAGGCTGAGGAGACCCCACCAGATGGACTTGAACCAGTGTCCACTAAACAAAGAGGAGGGTCAACACAGAGGAATCATTTCCTCCATGTTTCCAAGCGAAGCCAACCATAGTCAAGTAGGACCTTTGACTTATCTTCACATAGGTGGAACTGGTAAAAGAAAGGAGCCAGGGGCTCCTCCCAAGCCCAAGAGATCCCCTGAGGATGAGATCCTCAGATGACCTTAAGAGTAAAAATAACTTGGTTTACCTGGGCCAAATGTATGGCCTTAAACACCCAAAGGAAAGTATAACCAAAGATTATAGGGGCCAATATAATTTCTCAAGAGTCCATATACATAGCTAAAGGCTACATAACAAGCAACAATGCCAGACATGTGATACCTTCTTTTGAGTTGTTGGCCAGGTTGGCCAAAGAGACTCCCAGAAAGTAACCCAGCATCGAACTGGGAAAATGAACAGCAGACCCCAATCTTATCTAAAGGAATATTGACAACTGATTGCTGCTTTATGAGGAACAGCTGACCCTCCTAAAACAAAGACCTCTAGATAGGCTGACTAGATTCACCAGAAAGGCAAGTAGTGGGGAATGGCTGGGGTGTCGACAACACAGCAGAGTGTAGCAGGGATATCAGAGTATAAGGGCTCTAGTAGGGGGAGGGAGGCTATGGGAGGGTGCCATCTGGGAAGTGGTGTATAGTTGAATGAGATGGTTTGGGATTTTCTGTATGACACACACACACAAATCAACAAATTTTTAAAAATGTATTATATTTGAGGAGGAAGCATGGAAGTTTACATCATATTAATTAGCAGAGGTGATAAACATTACCATTGAAATCTGCCGGATGACTTTATAGACATACACAGGTGCCAAGGATCCAAGTGCAACTGATTATGACTAGTAATAATCAGATACATACAGATTAGAAAT